GTTGTATGTTATGTAAAAATAATAAATAACTATATACTTAACTATTTAGTTAAGTAAGCAATTTATCCTAAAATGATAATTACCTGTGAAGCAGCATCACCCCAAACACGAGCATCGAGTAGGGTGCTCCAATTTGGAGATAAATAGAAAATGACACCGTCAACAGCTCCTTCTAGAGTGACTCCTCTGATCAGTAAAGCTGTCAACATCACGTAGGGGAACAATGCAGTGAAGTACACTACTTTGCCGGCAGATTGGACACCCTGTAAACAATTAGTATTAGGTATTTTAAAAACTTCAAAAACTCATGTATATTATAACTTATGTATATGTATATAACTTGTGTATATTGCCGAATTATATATGTGTTCTTTAAAACAGTTAAATTCAAAGCATGTTTTTGCACCCGCTGATCACTTTCTCTGCATCACCCAAGGGTCAGACTGGTAGAAAATGCCTGCGGCATTAAGTCCACCCATGTACTTGTTTGTGTGCATAAAGTTTTTTTAAATAAATAAAATGTATACCTATACAAGTTATTTTTGCGTAATGTGCAAAGAATAACCACTTTTATTTCTATTGTTATAACTATAAGTATCAATATAATAACTTAAATTCACAGAGAACAAGAACAGTTCACAGAAATTAATGTTACCTGTGTTGTTAGTTTATTAATAAATATATCCAGTACATCTATAAACCCAATATGGAGCCTTGCTTAAGAAAAACTAGTAAAAGTTATTAAGACAAGTCTTATAATATCAGTTCTTACCTTGATGACACAGAAGAAAGCAATGAGCCATGATAAAGCCAGACATCCTACTAAGTGCCACTGTATGGTACCCCAGTTTTCCCAAGTAGCATCACCTCTGCCTAGCACACGTTCACTGAAAGGAAAATAAATGGAATAAAAATACAGTAGTAGACAACTAGCCGACTTTATGACGTCATCAAATATTTGCGTCTAAAAGCACACTTGTTGCCCCTGAGGATGGGGGCCCTAGGCACGGGGCCTGAGTGCCGTTATAGTAAAGACGGCACTGGTCAGCATTGACGTTAAACTTAATTTATACTTAGTTTATAGTCTTTAAACTTAATTTATAAGTATAGTAATCAGGTACGATTACGTAGTTATTCGATTTTGTAATTGGAGAGAATAGAAATTACCTCATCTAATCGATATCGATTAGGTGTTTCTCGGTATATTATTTTTTTAATTTTCCTTTCCAATAGGATGAAATATTAGAGATTTGAATGTATGTTTGAAAATAATTTATATAGGTGTTATTCTCAAAATTTTATATTAGGGTTTAGCAACAGTTTTATTTTAACTAAAAATCGCGGGTTACTCACGTTAATATACTGAGAAAAGCTCTACTAGTTTCGAACCACAGAGGGTTTCTTCCTCATGAGCAGCGTGCGCGGTCGCGGAGATGTCGTGCAGCCACCATATTTATTTAAAGGTAAACACGTATTTTTTTATTTGACAATAATGTAGCCGTAATAAATCGGTGTCAATGTTAATAAATATATTATTATATTATTACGCTTAATTCCCATATAAAAAACCCTAACTAGCAAAAGTGTTAAACAAGATATTAAACTTGATACTGTAAACAGATATTTATTAATTACTGATGACAGCCTCCTAATTAGGAGATGATTTACTCGCGCAATGTGGGTGCAAAAACACCGATAACACGTTTGCTTCGACATTCACGCTACTCATAATCAATACGTCATTGGCGCAATTAGGAAATTCCAGCATTGCGTAATTAGAAAAAGATAGTCCTTTCCTGTCGATATAAACTATAATATAAAATCTTTAATCGTGTAGTATATTTTTCATTGAATATTATTAATTTTGATATTAAACCAACGTCATAATTGTTTAATTGATTGATTGATTGAGATTTATTTTATTTTAGGTTAGATATGAGAATGGCAATTAAACTCGCATTGTGATAAGATGTTTACACCCGTAGGGGGCGCTAGTGTAGTTCAAGGTCTTGACACCAATCGAAATTCAAGTTTTTGGTCAATTTTAATTAGATACAGACTTTAAGGTTATCTAGTACCGGGTGATGAAAGTAAAATTCTTTATAGTAATTACGTTATTTAAATATGACTACACGGCGGCGCTGTGGCTGGGCAACTGGCTGCCGCGCAACGTGTCGCAGGTTCGATTCCCGCACGGAACAACTCTTTGTGTGATCCCCAGACTGATATTCCGGGTCTGTGTGTCATGTGTGTGTGTGAACTTGTATGTTTGTAAACGCACCCACGACACAGGAGAAATTACTAGAGAGGAGCAATGTATTTTACAAAAAAAAATATATTAAAGAAAAAGTAGTGATTACAGATTGAACAAAAATCCATATTCAATACTCTAAGTGGGTTTTTCAAGGGTCCATTGTATAGATAGTTGAGTCACAATCGTTAATTTATTCGTTGTCTACGCAACAGTTGTATTTTATCTCTATTATTTTGATAACGACCAGCAACACGGATAAACATAGTTTAGTATAATCCATTAGATAGCACACGTCATATACAATTTTAGAAATGCAATAATGATGAAAATATTATAAGATACAAGGACACTAATATTTTATTGTATTGAAAGATATAACTAGTTACTTTTGTATTAGGCTAATTTTAAAGTATTGCCTTCAATAGGAAACTATTGAAGGCAAATCCTCCGCTAACGTCGGTCACCGATGACCCCCATGACGTTTAACGTGTTAATTACTTAAAATATGTATTTTTATATTACTGAAATGTAAAAATAAAGCGGAAAATATGCCGTTTAGAGACTATAAATTAAGGAGATTGACTGTCTCGTTGGCCGAGTGGTCGCAACGCATTACTGGGTTTTTAAAAAATCTCAGTAGTAACACGGTGTCTGGAATTGTGCCCGGTATATGGCAATAGGTTCACCCCCTATTACATGGGACTCATAATATAAATAGTGAAAAGTGGGTGTTATTTCTGTGTGCAGCTCTGCCTACCCCTTCGGGAATAAATGATGTTATGTTATGTTTAGCTTTACTAATCATTCATTCATACAATATTAATCATACATGGTTTACCATGTGGCATACGAGACTAATTGTATACAGCTTAATATCCTCTGATAAATAATTTCTTACATAAAAAGTTAAATACCTACTATTGCAAAGGTCTGGCTGGAGGGGAATGCCTGGCATTAAGCCCACCTGCACCTTGTATAATATAGGGTGTATGAAGCCTTTTAAAATAAAGTAGTATAATAAAAAAAAATATGGAGACTACGTCTTAAAATCTAAGCCACGTGCGTTCCTAAAACATATTAAATGCATCTACAATTAAAGTTCAAAATCGTGTAAGTAACACGAGATATCGTTTCGTCACAGAACCACGAGTATTTTATCAATTTAATCTGATATAAATAATTCAAATTATCAATAGTGAACGGTGGCTATTGCCTGATTATAAAAGGTCAGAACACTTGATATCAGTAAATAATTATTTTACGAACAATTTAAAATCAAGTAGCTTGGATTATAATTGTGTTCGATTTAAATATAAGTATGTCATCTACATAAATTATGTAGTTGTTTTTGGATTTGTGGTTCTGTTTTGAATTCTCTTAAATTTCAAAATATATATATATAAAGTAAAAAAATTATAAGTTACTTTTACACACTTACTTGTAATAAACTTAAGCCGATTGTGTATTGAATAGGGTAGATGCCTAATTTTTATTTTAAAGTCCGTCTGGTAGATTATTTTAAATCATTAGACACGTATTTTTTATTTTCTTACAGAAACGAATACATTTGAAATGTCGCGTGGCGTCACTTCTATATACATTTTATACGTAGAAATGATGTTTTAGCACCCACTCCTAAACTTTGATTCGTTTTATCTAAGTATTGTTTTATTATCATCATCATCAACAGCCTATAAATGCCCACTGCTGAGCAAAGCCTCTTCTCACACGGAGAAGGTTAGAGCATTAATCACCACGCTTGCTCAATGCGGGTTGGCGATTTCAAACTTATAATTAGAAATTATAAGTTCAGGTTTCCTCACGATGTTTTTCCTTCACCGTTTGTCAGTGGTGTCTAAATAATCTTAGAAAGTACATATAACTCGGAAAAAGTCACATTGGTACTTGCCGTTGGTTGGTTTCGAACCCGCACCCTCATGCATGAGAAGTGGGCGTCTTAAACCTCCGGGCCACCACGACTTTTCGTTTTCATTGTTTTATTATACGACAAAATAAAAAAATTCGTGTCTAATATTTTTTAATTGCCTAACTTACGGACTAATTAGATTTTTAATGGTCATTCCCTGTCATCATCTCAATTGACATAAATTTTAAAATAAATATATATGAAAATTAAAAATTGATAAATAACTTTTACACACTTACTTGTAATATTCCTCAGATGCCAAAATCCTTGTTACATTCGTGTACCATGGTATAAGTTCATTTCCATCCAAGCATTGCTTGCCATCATAGGGTTCGAAGCCGGTTTGTACACAGATATCTCCAATACTAATACATTCTCTCAGATAGTAGGTGAGGTCTGTAGCTGCTCCTGTGTTATTTTGTCTGCAATGGTTGTCATAGTCTCCACTGTAACAAGCTGGTGACAAAACACATAAGTACTTATTATCAGAATGACATAATTGCAAAGTGGTGAAAGAGTTGGTCTATTTAATTCCCACAGTGTACTTAATGTAGTTACATTAAGATTTACATACCATAACATACACAACATCACGGCTTTTATCCCCGAAGGGGTAGGCAGAGGTGCACATTATGCCACTGTACAATGTAACACCCATTTTTCACTATTTATGTTATGAGTCCCATGTAATAGGGGTAAGCCTATTGCCAAATACCGGGCACAATTCTAGACTCCGTGCTACTATTGAGATTTTTTTTTAAAGCCCAGTAATACTTTGCCCGACCCGGGAATCGAACCCTAGACCCCTTGCCCGGCCAGTCGCATTTGCGACCACTCGGCCAATGAGGCAGACATTAAGATTTAATTGTAAAATTCACTACTTAAAACGAAATAAGGGCCACCATCGTTTTCATATATTTGTCTTAGAGTAACTCGAGAGTTGATTACAAAAAAGAAAACTAAAATAAATTATTTATAAATTTTGTGACTCAGTATATCTAAACAACATATTTTAAACAACCTTTACCAGAAACTTATTAATGCTTTTGGATAAAAGCCTAAAAACATGGTGGCCTTCATTTTGTTTTGAGTAGTATATTTAGATTCAGTATACAAATCATAATATATAGCAACTTAACATTCTATGTGGTTTCACTTTTGGGTTTTTCTTCTTTGTTGAGGGGGAAAATTATCCAATGATTTCTCTTCTTTAGGTTAGGCGAGAGGGAGTGTAAGACTCTTACTGACTAAACCATCCCTTTCCTAATCCTGCTCTTCGAGCCGGAGCCCCGGCAACCCGTTAGGGCTTCCGCGGCTCCGTATCGGGCATCAACCCTACTGGATCCTATCTGTGGTCTGATGGGTTTTTGAGAAACGCGCGGGACGCGACGCGCCGTACGCACAGGTTTGGTTTTGATCAAGCGGCGAGCTACCCTTGTTCGCTGTCCACAGACACGCATTTACGGTGCGCCTGGATTGTCTCCCGCGACGACTGGTTTGTAGTTTCACTTGGAACCACATTTTTATTGGTCATGTACGGGACATTTTCATCCATACAATAAATTAAAGTTTATCTGTCTACTTCTTACATTATAGAAAGAAAGGAAACCCATTTATTTTGCTACGACATACAACAAGAATTTAGAAACACAAAATAAAGCCTATGGTGCGTCGCAGCGCAAAAGGCTGGAGCTCAGCTTAATACCAATTATAACCCAAGTATTGAACTTCAATATTAAATTAAAAAAAATATAGATCAAAAATCTTACCATCAGTATTGTAGTCATTAATACAGGAACCCCAATCAAGGAATCCGGCGATGGACACAATAGTGTAGAACAAGGTCCAGGAGACGATAATCATGTAGTAAATGGAAATGATGGAGATCACGACCAGGGTGCAGTAACCCAAGCCAGTGAAGAAGGGAGAAATGGCACTGAAAGCCTGCAAGGGACCGATACCAGTGTACTGGCCTATGTACAATTCCAGGTAGAAAAGAGGCAATCCAATGAAAAGTAACATGAGGAAGAATGGGATGAGGAAAGCGCCTGGAACAAAAAAAGAAAGTAAATGTTATTTGTTAAGTTTAATGTTAAGTAATAATGGTTAGGTACTTTACGAGCAGTTTACTATTTTACACTAATATAACAAGCTAATTTGTATTTAAACTAAATCTGATGTTAAGACAAATTGGATATTATAGATTTGAAGACAACATAGATATAAAAACTATGAGAACATCATTAAACAACTTTATTGATACACTTTATTGATAATGCAATCACGGTTGTAAAACGTGACATTTCTTTCACAGAAAGGCATCGGCTTATCAACCATTACCCTAATTTATTATCCAAAAATCAAAATATCTCGTTACAATTCCCCGAACGCCATACGATTTCAACGAAATTCAAACAAGCGTCGAGCGTAGTCGATAAATAAAAGTACGTTCCATAAAAAAATATGAATAAAATTTTTAAAAATCATGCTAATCTGGCAACTAGCGCCTTAATGTTCCATAAATAATATATTATCTAGTAAAATTTCGGTTCTAAGTCCCGGAACGAGTAGATGCTGGCTGACAGGAAAGCCTTATTGACCGATAGGGATTCAATAAATAATTCATATTGATTCAGAGCGATTTGTTTTTGTTTGGCTCTTCACTTTTATTATTATTCTTTCAACCTTCGCTGACGTGTTGGGAAGGATGAAATATACTTTCTTTTGTGTATTTTTTACTTATAGCTGTTTGCTTGTTGTTATTTGTCGTGGAAGTTCTCGAAGAGAATCATTTGATTTTCAGTGTGAAAGTGTTTCTATGTGATAATGCACTGAACATCTATTTCTAGGTTATATTTAGTCGGCTAGAACACGCCAAACTCTTAATATCAGTCCAATAGTTTAGTAGCCCATTCAATATCATATTTCCATATCTTTACAATTACATACATACATACATACATAACTTCACGCCTGTCTCCCATGGGGGTAGGCAGAGACTAAGGAACGCCAATTACTACGATTCTTACATACCTCTTTCGCTTCATTAACAGTCATCAATCTTTTCATGCATGCTCGTCGGTTAAGGGTACTTTTAATTTGGCCCTTCTCTAATATATCGCCAATCTGGTCACTATATGTCCGTCTAGGGCGCCCTCTACCGACGGCCCCATTCATATCCGCTCTGTATACTTCTTTCGTTACTCTACTTTCATCCATCCTTTCTACATGTCCAAACCAGCGTAACATTCCCTTTTCAATCCTTGTCACTACATCATCTTTCAATCCACACCTTTCTCTAATAACACTATTTTTCACTCGATCACTCAATTTTAGTCCACACATACTTCTTAGGGCTCTCATTTCCACCGCATTAATCCTGCTTTCATGCTTCTTCTGCCACACCCATGATTCACTACCATACATAAGCGTTGGGTCAATACACACTGCATTACAGCAAGTCGAGCTTTGCTGGATATTATTTTACTCGACATGACAGAGTGTAAAGCACCATTAACACTATTTCCCGCTTTCACTCTCCTTTCAATATCCCCGTCACACTTTCCATCTCTCGTAAATAGTGATCCCAGATATACAAATTCATTCACTTGTTCCAATTTTTCATCACCTATCACCACCTTTACAATTACAATTTAATATTTTTAATTGATTTTGAGTCACAAAGAAATATAAGATTGTAACTAACCGCCTCCATTCCTATAGCAGAGGTAAGGGAATCTCCAGACGTTACCCAAACCCACAGCGTATCCAAGACAGGCTAGAATAAACTCCAAGGGTCGTCCCCAAGACGCTCTCTCAGGAGTATCACTGCCTGTTGCTGCTTTTCCATTTGGTTCAGCCTGAAATAAAATGTAAAATATTAGTTTAAAACGACAAGGAACTTTAAAAGCATTATTCCCGAAAATAATTAAACCGCGATAAGTAGTAGAGGAGGCATTGACCCAGACACTTCGCTAACCTTGAAGTCTAATAATCTAAAGATTATGAGCTCTGTGATTACATCGCTAGACCAAAATTCCAAAGTCTATGAAACACGTATGAAGTATCTCATTACTTATCATTAATACTTCGATTGCTGAAGTACCGAAAGTTTGCAGAATAGGGTAGGATAAAGAACAACTCCGATCATTCCACTGTTCCTTGGTAAACATAAAGTATGTGGGCAAGAAGTTGGCCGTTAGTTCTGAGAATAATACCGACTCCTGCATAATATTATTTGAAAAGCGGAAAAGCGTATCGAAGGAAAACTCGGGCGACTCCATTGAAGCTCTCGTCACAATCCGACGCATTTACATTTTAACTCGTCGAGTACCGGTTTTGTAGACACAATTATAGAACAATAGGTTGCGGTCACCGGTGACCGCTTGGTGTTTGACAGTTTAATGAGAACGATTATTCCCTTGTTTGAAGGGATTAAGTTTTGGAACACTTCCCGATTTTCGCGTCCGCACAAAGTTTACGTAATTACTTTATTGGCGATTACAGAACTAAGACACCGGTTTAGGAATACATTAGCCGGGAGTTTACAAGTGAAGCAGTTTCGCTGCCATTATTGGATCACCGAGTGAACAGGTTCAAACTTGCTCTCAGTATTAATGGGGACCTATTGACATTTAATCGAATTTGTTACAGAGCTTCTCTTGTCTCATTTCGGTTATTTTAGGATAGAAGGTAACTTTATCGTCACGTGTCGTTCTTTCTTTCGTTCTATTGAAAAGTTAGAATAGTTGCTTAGATGAGCGCTGACACAAACAATCGAAAGACTTGTTTGTTTAGATTTTAAGGGTAGGTATCGATAGTTTTTTTTTAATAAGAGACTTGTATTAGGCTTGTTGTTGTTCGAGCTTAGGGACTAATTTATATCACACTGTTCACTACGCAATTAAATTAATTGTAATCATTTTGACACTATTTTCGGGAGTCTCTGCTTAAATGTAAATTCTGTGTGTCACCATAAATTTCACATTTATGTAATAGGGACAAGAAATTTACAAATTCATATCATTTTTGTTTTGACTGTCTTGATTTTTATACTTTTCATTGTATGAGTGGATAACTCTTTGTATCATTATAATATAAGACAAGAAGTTAAATAAATAATTGTAGTTCTACGAAAATGTTGACAGTTCAACTCCATATCAATCACGTTGTTGGTTATATTTTCATTATCTATAGCACATTAACTATTGCCAAATTAATTGATAAACGGGCGCTAATAATGTATTAATACGTTTGAAACATCTAATGCCGCTAGTTATCACGACCTGAAATTACATTATTATCAATTCAATCAATTCTCTATTCTTATCTGATTAAAGTACATTATCTTTTTTTCTAAATCATCATTATGATGTATGTCTACCAAAACAATTACCTTTTTGTGTTTCTATGTCAAAATATTGATTTACCTGTTTTGACTAAAAAAACTTTAAATTTTTGACACTGATATATACATACATACTGTAATTTCTCATTTTAGTTGTTGTTGAGTAGATGGATTCGAAACCTATCGACGGCAAATACCAATTTGACAAGTTATATTATAATTCGGAAACACACACGAGTATTGTGTACTTTCTAAGACTATTTAGACACCACTGACAAACGATGAAGAAATATATCGTGAGGAATCCTAGGCTTGAATAATAATTTCTAGTAATAAGTTTGAAATCGCCAACCCGCATTGAGCGAGCGTGATGATTAACTCAAACCTTCTTCGTGTGAGAAGAAGGCTTTGGTCAACAGTGGCCACTTATAAGGCTGCAGATGTTATATGAGTGTAGATGGGAGGACGATGTTCAATAGTAAACGTTTTCTGGCTGATATGATATGATAATAATGATGAAACACATAGTGCCTAAATATTTTTATCTCAATGTAATAAAAACTTGTCTCAAATTTATCGCACATCTGGTTCGTTCGTCTACTGAGTCATCGGGAGATGTGTCGATAAACCAACTGAGGTATTTACCTACCTGTTACTGTATTATATTACTCAATTTGATGATCTTATCAACACTTTGAGAATTCGATACAAAAAAACGTCACATTTTACACAATTGGTATCTATATAATTTTCACATCGTTATGTATGATATAGGTATTATTTTTTATATGACAAAGAAACATGAATTAAACAGATGAATCAAAAACATAGTTCTTTTCGGGAAGTCGGTCAAACAAAAAAAATAAATCGGCATGACCATGAAAATAGTGAATCATTTTTTTTTGCTAAAGTCTCAAGAATATAGTAGGACATCTATGAGACATGTTAATGTTAGATATAATAAACATTAAATCTGTCATAACTACGAGATCTGAATCACGTGTGTCAATAAAATTATCGTGCAAAATCGTTATCTATACTATGAAACGTGATTTTTATGCTTAGATTACATTTTGTATCGATAAAATTGTCATTACCTACATTATTGTTTCAAAATCGATAACTTTCTTTACGAGCATCGTGAAGACAGCCTTTTAAATTGTATATTTCTTGATAAAACATATGTATTAGATCGTTGATTTCCTTGTACGGTAATTGTAAACAATATGACCGTAGTAACGACAAAGTACATTAATTTTGTTTTCAATCTCATTGAATGACAATGATTTCTTTTTCAAGTTATTAAAAATGTGAGTTATAACTGACTACTTTAATGAAATACTGTGATCAAAACATGTAAATGCAACTAGGTTAATGAAATATGGTCGCGATAAATACTTTTTATCGACCGGTTTTATAGGTGTTGGTTATATTTTTTTTTTACTAGGTAACACATAACATAACATCGCGCCTATTATCCCCGAAGGGGTAGGTAGAGGTGCACTTTACGGCACTTAATGCCACTGAACAATATAAAACCCACTTTTCACTATTTATGTTATGAGTCCCATGTAATAGGGGTCAGTCTATTGCTATATACCGGGCACATTTCCAGACTCCGTGCTACTACTGAGATTTTTAAAAACCCAGTAATACTTTGCCCCATCCTGGAATCGAACCCTAGACCCCTTGCCCGGCAGTCGCACTTGCGACCACTCGGCCAACGAGGCAGTCTATATATTTGTTTATACTAGGTATTAACTACTATTTCCTGCTGTCTTTGATGAAGGTATAGATGAGCAGACGATAGAACGCTAAATTTTGATGTGGATAGATGAAAAGGAAGAGGACGACCAGACAAAACACTGATTGTATAAAACGAGCATATGGATCACCTGATGGTAAGCGATCAGCGCCAGAAATAAAAAAATAATAGGTAATAATAAGAATAAGTGTTATGAAAGAATAGGTGTTTCAAGATTAGATGACCGGAGACAGAGAAAGAAGAAGGCCCGTAACTTAGGATATGGGCAAAAAATTAATAGACCGATTTGTAAAAAATCCTTTACTAATGAAAACTTTACTTGACTCGACTGCCTTGTTGGCCGAGTGGTCGCAAGTGCGACTGCCGGGAAAGGGGTCTCGGGTTCGATTCCAGGATCGGGCCAAGTACTACAGGGTTTTTAAAAAAAATTCAGTAGTAGCACGGAGTCTGGAACTGTGCCCGGTATATGGCAATTGGCTCACTCCCTATTACATGGGACTCATAACATAAATAGTGAAAAGTGGGTGTTACATTGTACTGTGGCATAAAGCGCACCTCTGCCTACCCCTTCGGGGATAAAAGGCGTGATGTTATGTTATGTTACATTACTTTTCCGAGATTATTTTTCAAATCAAGGTCTATTCAACGTAAAACATCCAGTTTCCACATGAGTGAAGCCAAGAGCGCAAAGAGTTTCTGCACGAGAGCACCTACAAACTTAAACTTACCACGCCGGCCATCATAACACATTTTATTATATTTTGTCTATATTCAAATGTTATCGAGCACACGTAGATTTGCAGCCGAATCGTTGATAACTGATAATGGCCCACGACATTTGTAAATCACTTTACTATGATAAGTGATAAAATACCGATTATCCATTGGAGTTTATATAGGCTATCATACGATCTTTTTATCTGGGTTTTGGACATTAGAATACCAATTTTTATTGTTATGCTGTCCTTGTATTATGTGCTCTTGAAGTCTTTGTCATGACCATCATTACAATAATATGATCCACATAACATAATATCACACCTTTTATCCCCGAAGGGGTAGGTGGAGGTGCACATTATGCCACTGTTCAATGTATTATCCACTTTTCACTATTTATGTAATACTAGCGACCCGCCCCGGCTTCGTTATACATACATACAAACCTTCCTTAAGAATCACTCTATCTATCAAAAAAAACCGCATCAAAATCCGTTGCGTAGTTTTAAAGATCTAAGCATACATACGGACATACAGCGAAAGCGACTTTGTTTTATACTATGTATTGAAGTCCCATTTAATAGAGGGTGAGTATATACATTATGATCCATTATAATATAATCTTTGCTACAGGATCATCATGTTCTTCACCTCTTCGGCTTGGAATGAGAAACTAGCTGACCTGAGCTACAGCAAATTGAATCAATTTTTCAAAAAAGAGAATAGCATATTTTTATCTTATACAACGTTCTTAAACTGTGTTAATTCATTTTTAACTTATATTTTTAGCTAGAAGATGTTTACTGCTAAACCTAGAACTTCTCAAGTACTTCCAGATTAGCCTTACGAGTTGTTCAATTCATTTTCGACCTTATATGTAATTAGACCTAAATCCCAAATTTGAATGATGCAACAACGGTTTGATATATGTTAAACGCAGAATGAAAGATTAGTACCTACAGTAAGTCAAATTGTCACCGAATTCTTTAGATAATAAGTAGAATTGCAATCGAGTCACGTTTTTGTTTATAGATAAGGAAATATTTTGACTGATTACGTTAATTTACGGATGTAAACAGTAAATAAATTATTATGAAAAATTAACACCAATGGCTTAAAGAGGAATCATAAAACAAGCATTGTAAAAATTATTGTAATGAGATAGTGTGTACAAATATTTATAACCTCTGTCAGAATTGTCTATTTAAATCTTTTAAAGGTCATCCTTGCATTTCATATCAGACACAACATATTATGTTTATGTATATCTCAAAATAACCTCGATGGCCGAGTGGTCGCAAGTGCGACTGCCGGACAAGGGGTCTCGGGTTCGATACCCAAGTCGGGCAAAGTATTACTG